CCACCATTTCGTGGTCACTGCAGCCAAGGCTCACTATGCGTGGAATATAGTGCTATATCACATATGGGTAATATGAATCAGAGATATTTTCCTTCAATTCAGTTTTCGCATGTTATATTTTGTTTATTTTCCTGTATACAATGCTATCTTTGTAGGCACTAAACTGTATATGATAAAAAGGAAAAATGTGGAAAGCCCCTATGTTTCTTAAGAATAAGTACATTTTATTTTTAATGAGTAGAATTTAAATAAAATATATTGCTTATTAAATTTGTATAGATATTTTCGCTAGCAATGTAAAAAGACAATCGCAACATATACAATGGTAGCATTTTGTTTGGTCTAGAGAAATTAATGTACATCTGTCGTCAACATAAAAACTTAAAATGTTTCCTTTAAGTTTGAATAATCACTTCGTGGCCTAGAATTAGGGAGTAATTTGTCTTTTTGTTTACCATCTGTGCTACTCTTGAGATTTATTTATAAATATTACTTATATAGTCTTTTCTGGTTTTTGTAGTGTTTAATACAAGTACTCTACTCTTTCATTCTGGTTTTTATTAAATATTTGATACTTGTACATGCATTTTAGATTGAGGATCTTCGTTCCCAACTTTTGAGAGCAGAAGAAGACCGTGTAGAATTGCAACATCAAATTTCACATATTGCTATGCACCGCCAGAGCTACCAGGATGTACAAGATGATGACAGGAGAATTAGAACAGGTACAACTCTCATATTTTCCACTAGAGGTCTGCAAATTAGTTAGTTAGCCTGGGCATTAATTCTGTGAGTTGCAGTCTATTTCTTATGCTGTTTCAACAAAACAGCTATTTAACTCCTCGGCTTTAAGTTAATAAGTACCGACACCTGAATATTAACAAATAAATAGCAATGAGTGTTAAAATTTAGGATAAAATACCATGATTTGCATGGTTAAAACACATGAAGATTGAGACGATTTCAGCAAAGTGGATAGTGTTTTTACAGAAGAAAAACATTTGAAATATTTTAAAATACTTTTTCTGAAATTATTTGACATTACAGTCCATTTGCAGTTAAATTCTGCCATCTTGAAAATTATAGCAAAAGTCACTTACATAGCTGGTTAATAAGACTGATGAATTTCTGGTAGAATTTCTAAGGGGTAGCAACATGTTCCAGAGAAGTTAAGAAAATTTTCCAGTATGATGCAGTCAGGGCTTCTGTTTGCAGTATGTTAGAATTTTAGAGATGGAACAATGACATTTAGAAGAAAAATACTTTAAACAATTTCAAGATGTAATTGCATATTAAATTACCACTTTAGCAAGGTCTTCGCTATATTGTTAGTTATCTGTGTGTATTTAAACTTTTCAAACACAATCAAAAAGGCATTAGAGGAAGTCTCTATCTTTCTCCTTATTAACATAGAAATGTATTACTCAAGATAATAGAGGAATAGTAACTTCAAGTCCAGTGTGTCTGTGAATGTTTAATTGGTTTGGTTAATGATGTATTTTTATATTTTCATACTTCAGCTGCTGAATTATCTTGGTTATTAAAATAGGACTCTGACTCTCTGTTTTACAAATCTCATACACAGCACTGGAAAATGGCTAGATTTTGTACATGGCTTAGCTTCAGAAATGTAACACAAAATATTCATCTCAATAGTTTTTCTCCAGTCATGTTAATGTATCTGCTTAAAAGTGAATTTATTTGAAACAATATGCCTTTCATGTTAATGAAAGTGTTTTTTAATTTTTCCATTTGTTTTATAACTATAATTCAAAATTGTTGTAAAAATATGAAGAAAATAAAAAAATACTGGAGCTATTAAGATATACACATATAAATATATAATTTATACAGTTATGTTTCTCCTCACTGTATTATTTCTGTTTCTTCAAAGATGCGTGGGATGAATACGAATGGAGAGTTTCTTTGCCTCTAGCAGTTGTTTATGACTAAAGACCTTTGAATTGCTGGTTGATGAAATTTGCAGCTTACTCTTATCAAGAATCTCTATTGTAGTTGTAGGATTCAGACATAAAATTCACAGATAGTGTGACTTCCAAATCAGGAGGTATTACTCTGGTGGGATAAAATCTTGGCCTTGAAGTTTGTGGCCAGGTTTCATTTACAGCAGAATTTCCCCATTTTTTTCCATCCTATTTTGTTAACAAGTTTTGGGTTTGTTTGGGGTTTTTTTAATTGGGGAAGAAGAAAATAAAAAAGAGGGGGGGAAAACCCCCATAAAATGACTGAATAAACAGAAATACTATCTCGTTCAGTCAAAGGTTATGATATAGGTATAGCCATTTTTCACAAATACTTTGATTAAAATCAGTAGATGTAGAATAGATGTAGAAAGTTGCCAGAAGCCGAATGAGGAAAAAAAAAATTTACCACAAGTTGATGTTTCTCCTGGGCCTATTGTTCTGTTCTCACTATTCTATAGTAGCTGAAAGATATGAGAGAGAGAAGCAAGAACTGGAGAAACATATTTTGGAACTTAAAGCAAAGCTGAGTCATAATGCTGTAATGTCAGAAGTAGAAGAACTAAAGAGATGCATAGAGCATAAGGACAAGGAGAAAGCACAGCTTGTAATGCATATACAGGTAAGTTGTCTGTCTTGTTGTTTTTTGTTTGTTTTTAATAATTTCCCATGTATTTAAGGCAGGTGATATGCCAGATTAGGGAGTAACCTTTAAAACTAAGAATAACTGTCATGCTGGTCTTAGTTTATTCTATAAATAACTTTGAAAGGTGATCAGAGTTTGCAGAGGTTTTGCAGAGGTTTTTCTCTCCTGTGTGGTTAATAAACCAAAAAAGGTATTTGCTGTTGCCCATGAATTCATGGTTTGGATTACTTCTGTTCCCCATGTGCAAAGAAAAGGTGATCTGATTTTATCAGCAGTTACCATTAATATTGATTTCTTGAATTACTTTTATAAGTTAGTATTTGCTTCCTTATTCCCCCATTCCATCATGCTTCAGAACTAAAGTTTAACTTTAAACAAACTGGGATACCTTGTTCTATGAGAGAGTGCAGTAGAGTAACAAAAATAGATCATAACTGCTCTTTTTTAGCAATTAGATGCAATGTAATATTATAATACTATATTAGTAAGTATTAGTTAATATTCTTATTTATGCTAAACACCTACTTTCTCTGTGAAAAGAATAGCAGCAGTCTCCGACACTGGAATTTTAGTTAGAAGACTTACCTTGAACAAGAAATGAGATATAAGGAGCCTTGTTATTGAAGATAGGACAATTCTGTATTTTTGGATCTTGTCTAGATTTGTCTTGGTAGTAAGATTCCTGAACAGTAACTATTTTCTACTGTCTTTCATGACTGTGAGGAGAAATGAGGATATTTGCAAAACTCTATGTGGGATTTCAGTAGTCAAGTACCTAAAATTTGTTGTACTTTTATTGGGGCATTCAGTAAGCTGGGAGGTTTATATTTTGTGTTTATTTTTCTAATGAAGGTACTTTTCTTTGAAATGGTGTTGTGTCACTTCAGAAATTCAAAAGAAGGATTTTTTTTGTCTTTTCATAGATTTACAGGACTATACTGTTCAGTTAACTTCTGCTGCTCTTTTCCCTTGTCAACTTCTGTGCTGATTTAAATCAAACTAATACATCAAATTACATTTGGAAAAAATTGAAGTCTCAAAATAAGTTCCTATATGCTTTATGAAAACTAGTCATGGAACAGATTTAAAAAGACCTAGAGTGCTTCTATAGAGGGTAAGGCAGGCAGAACTGATGCCCATCAGCATTAATGTTCTAGCTGGCCAATACAACTGCAGACTAACCTGAAACCTGCTGGTTTTTTGCTTCGTGGGGCCTGAGAAATTCCAATTACTTTGGTGGCAGGAGTTAATGGGATAAAGACACATAGAAAACCAATTATTTTTTTTTTTAAACTTCTGCTTGTAGAACATGCTTTCTTGAGGGTCAGAATGATGTTCTAATACTAATTTCCTGCTCTGTGAAAATACTGATGGAAGAGTGCTCAGCTGGGGTCATTGTCATTGCTCTGAGTTAGAAATCTTTGACTTCCCCAATTATCTCAACAGAAAATACTTTGTACTTCTTATCTGCTTCCCACTGCCATTCTCCTACAGAGGCAGTAACAGCAAAAATAGCTGGTGTGTTTTTCTTTTAATGAGACATCAAGGAATGCAAGGATGTGAATATCTAAACTTATGTAGTAACAAAGCATTTTATCAAGCCTGTTCTAACAGCTGCTCCTATCAGATAGTCTGATTCCCAGTTGGAAGTGACCAGTCATGTTTGACTTGAGTGTAATTAATCTTTGGTTAGTGGGGAGGATGTAACTGCACTTGCCTCTGGTGTACATGTGATACTAGAAATTTCTTTTGATTTATTTAAATGTCATTGTTTTCAACAACTTGAATTGTATGTGTTGTACATTTACTCCCTGACAGTTGCCATAACCTCATAATATGATGTAAAATGGAGAGGATGAAAAACGTTATAATCACATTCTTAAACTCATGTTTAGAAGTGAGTTCAATCTTAAATTATTTTTTTAATTTAATAGAGAAAATTTTTATTTCCATTGCTGTAGTTTACCTGAGGGTGCTTCTGTAAGATCTTGCAAATGTATGCAACTATCTTAAATATATTTTTCTGCATGGAACTATATAGATATGGGGCTGTTATGGCTGACTATTATGACCTGACCGTTATGGCTATGAAATAAACAAAGTACACAAATTATAAATATGAAATACTCTAATTTATTTGTAAGCATATTTAGACTTCTATGCTTGTGAAATTGATTTACTAATTACTTCTCATTCTAATTAGGTCAAAGTAGTCTTACAATATTGTCCAGTAGACCGTAACAACAGAATGCCAGTTTGCTAAAATATTTTAAATTTTTTGAGGGAAAGCTATTGATTTGTTTGTTTATGATTAGAATTCTTCAGTAATAGAAGTCTTTCAGTCTTATGAAGATTGATGAAGATCTTATCCTCATTAAAATTCATTTTATGGCTTTTTCATCCTCTAAAGATGATACTTAGCCAATTATTTTCATATATGAGCCAATTAAGTTATCCAAAAATCAATAATTAACACTAAATTTAAAGAGATATTCTTACAAAATAAGAGAAATCAATACTTTGCAGACCAGCCTGTATCACCATGTCAATCGAGTTCAAATGCTGAAACAATGCTACAGATAGATTTAAAATGTACAGATGCTATTCACTTTGATAATGTTTCTATCTAAAATAACATATCAACCGGGGGGTAGGGGGAAGAGGTGTTTTAGCTCTATCTTCTATTTACATAAACCACTACCTTTCAGAATGAGTAGTAGTTTAAGTTTTGGAAAAACATGGAGAAGGCATCACTTTAAGAAATTGATTTTGTACAATATACCTTTTACTGAATGTAAATATTACTTCTTGACTGATTGAATGTATGTGTATCTTTTATTCAATTCACAGAATTTGTGCTTCTGGATTAATAGTTCTTGATGGTTAGATGTAATGCAATTGCCAACAGATGCAGATCAGAGGTCTGTGTTCAGGAGTTAGAGAAATAATTAGGTGCATGGTTTGGATAGCATTGTTGAAAACAGTATTGGTGACAACCAGTATGATTACATAGCAGTAGAATCTGGTGACTTGCACTGCTGAGATACAGGGTAGAAAAAAGAGAGGAGGGAGAAAAATACATATAGATCCACTTTAGGTGACTAATGTACTTAGTGTGGTGAAACGTGGCTTTCTGTATTCTTATTAGTATAGAATGTTTGCACATAACTGTGATGTAAGGCACTATTTCTGTAAGTTGCAGCTAATGAGTAATCCTCACTTGCATTTTAAATGTTCATGAAAGTGTTAAGGAATGTTGCACTGAATACACTATGTGATGTGTTTTCTATACCTAGAATGAATTTTGTTTTGCAGTTTGTGGTGATTTTATTTTTAAATTAGGTATTGAAAATGCAGGTCAAAGGTATCATATGCATTGTCAAGCTACGGACTAGAAGTCCTAGCTACACAAGTTACTGGAATGGTGGTAGAATCGCATTTTAGTGCCTGTGGTGATTAGTTTACACTTCAGATAAATAACTAGGCTCTAACTGGAAAATGTTGGCCTTTCTCTCTGCTTCCAGTTTCTTATGAAAGTTGAAAGCTAGATTACATACTGGGATGTTGGATATGTAGAAACTGAAATGCACAACTGTTTTACTTGGGGCAAATGTTGCATCTGGTTTTGAGTTTGTGTCATCTCTAGCCAGAGCCTGTCAATTGAAATGTCTGTGGTGGTGGTGGTGCAGTCTGAGGGCTGATGCAAACTTTAGTCAGTTTTGAAAATAATACTTGCATTCAGATCTCTAGAGCATTAATATGATGTACCCCAGGATTTAGTAACTAATCTTAATGACATTTTTAAGTCTTCCACAAACATAATTCTCTTTATTATAATAATATCTTCAAATACTCTCCTCCTAGCTTTAATATCTAATGTTATGTTGGTGGCAAATGAATTGACGGGAGTATTTTAATACCTTCCCTTTGGTTCTGGTAGCAGTGGAACTATGAAAATGCAACAATACAATTAATCAAGTTAGACAAACTGGGACCCAGAATTGTCTTGTGTAAAGACTGAGAAGAGACAACATGCCATAATCAGGATTTTCTATAGTAACAGCGATGGAAAACATGCTAAAAATTGCTGTACATATATATATACAATATATCCTAACAACAAAGTGTTCCGAATATCCTGGGTTACTTCTGTCAGAACCTCCATACCGTTGTAACGTATGTCACAGAATATTGTCGTGCTTCTAGTGCATCCAAAGCAGCTTGCTGAGTTCTCTGGGTGACTGACCTTCAGCCACCAAAGACACCAGATGCTCCTTGGAATCTGAAGTCTCGATCTGTAAAGGCAGTACTTCTTATCTGCATAGAGGTTTTTTTTTGAATCACAGGTTTAGTAATTTCTTGCTTGGAAGAGACACTCAGATGTCCAAGGAATGTAATTTTTTTCCTTGTTTTTCTAATAAATGCAACCTCCTGACATTGCTTGTCCTTTCTCTTAGATTATCCAACTATTGTTTACTGCAGTCACAATTGAGGAGAAAATTGGATGAATATTTAAAAGCAAACAAACAAAAAATCACATCTCTATAGATTCCTGTCTCTTAGAAATCCTTAAAATGTTTACATTCTGAATTTCCTAGAAGGGTAAGATCCAAGATAGGAATGTGAAAATTAGGGTATAGTCTGTGGGAGCCTTAGTTGTATTAATGAAGTGTGTTCTCTGGGGAAATTATACATAAACAACTATTTAATGATGCAGAATTGAATAGTACATCAATTTAGGCTGACATCCTCTGTGATGTCTTCAGAACGACATGAAATGGGAAGTGATAACAGCATGTATAATCACATGACTGAAAAAATAATGACCTATTTTAGAAAAACTGTGGAAGGGTAAATATAATATCTGACTGTATTTTATTGGGTTATTTTTAACTTCTGCTACATTCAGAATTTAAATCCTTACATTTAAAGAGGTATTGTAATCTCTGTTCTCATTTGAAATTAAACTTGTTCTGATAAAATTTTGCTAGTTGTAACTTGTGAGGGTTGGGGGGTTTTTTTGTCAGTTGCTTTGTCTTATGAATCAAGACTTTTTGCAATGTTAGGCCTGGTCATTCTGCCTTGTGAGCTTGAAAATGCATGTTTAAATAATAATGAAGCAAAATATATGTGAGTTTTTTCTAATGTGTAGAACTGTAAATCTAGAAAGATTTTCGTGTTTTCATTTTGCCACCTGTGTAAGACTTACTCCTGACTATTCCATAATGTGTTTACCTAGTGTTTTACTATCTATATCTCAGTTGTGTCTAGAGCAGGAATATTCATCATACAGGTGAGCAACTGATTGTCCAGTGGATAATCCTACTCCTGTTTTGCATCATGGGTACAAGTAGCAAGCTGGACTGATTGCTCTTGTCTCTAGCATCGGTCCATTCCTGTCATCTTTCTGGGACAGCAAATGCTATCCTGAAAAGACTAATACAATTTAGTGCCTTCCAGGAGGTAATGGCCAGGTTTGGAGGGGAGGGAAAAAAAAAACCCCAACCATCAAACCCAAGCCATGCGCCCGCTGCCCTCCAACCTTATGGAGGGATCTTTGTCTAAATAGTCGTTCTATGTGCATCTGTAAAGTTGCTTATTTTTTCTTAGGCAAAGTATTTTTACCTTGTCCCTTCTGAATTGCACCCTGTTTATTTCAACTACATCTCCAATTTGTTGCAGTTGTTCTGAAATCTCATCCTTTCCTCTAAAGTATTTCCATTCCTTGAAGCTTGATAATATCATTGACTACAGAGCAGGCCTATTAAACTCATCAAAGTCATTAATGAAAATACTAAATAGTATGAAAGCAGTCTAAATAGGCCTGAAATACAGAATACTAATGTGAAATTCTACGTCATGATCTTAATAAAATTCAGTTTTAGTAGTGAAGCTTCAATAACTGGTTTCTGAATATGCCCTTGCAGAAGGTATATGGAGAATTTTTTTCCTGACTTGCTTATGAGATTGTCTTGAGACATATCATCAGATTTGAGATAGGCTTGTTATTTTTTAAAATGTGTAGTTTCATTCTCCCCTTTTTCATTCTGTGTTGAAAGGTCAACTAATGTTGGCTCAAATATGCTTGCTACGTTTTCAAACATCTTTACACTTTGTTCTAGAAACATCTACCAAGCTGCTCTATTCTCTTTGTATTCATCAGTGCTTGCCAAACTACACTTATTCAGCATGTTGCTTCCATAAAAGTAACCAGCATAAAACTGGGTAACAACTAGCTCATGTGCTGTAGATTATTTTCGTTTTGGTGAATGCTATTATTTCCTTACCAATTTTCTTTTTCCTCTCACCTGTTTATATTCATCTCCTTACAACTTACTATTTGCTTTATTCCATATTTGTCTAGTATGTAACTTATGAGGATCCTGGTCAATGATTCCTTCTCAAACTTAAAATATAAATAATAACAAGAACAACCAGAAGAGGAACAAATGCAGAAAGTAAAATACAGGATAGAGTAACCATGTCTTTTTTCATACATTGTGTTGAAGTTCTTTACCATTGTAAAGGGGGAGATTCTGTGGGCTAACATGGCTTTCCCTGGTAGACAAGGAGATCTTTTATGCTATTCATATTTTAGATAGAAATGTGATTTAACATCACTGTATGTTGTTTGATAAGGTTTCATATTGTATATCTTGAGTTGGAATTTTCATATTTTGCTGTGATGATTCCAGGTGTTAACATCTGATCTGGAAAACAGGGAGAAACAGCAGGAAAAAATGCTGGACCAGCTAAAGGAGATAGAGAGTTGCTACAAGGCTTGTGAGAATGGACGTAGACAAACTGAACTCCAGTCTGCTGAGTTAGCTCAACAGGTTGAAGAGAGTACCAAGGAAGCAGACCGGTACCTCACTGAATTCAAGCATTCAGAGGCACTCAGGCTGGAGATTGAGAAAAAAAGGGAAGATCTGAAGGTAAGAGCACAGGAAACCATCCGCCAGTGGAAGCTGAAATGTAAGAAACTGGATCGTGAGGTGGAAAAACAAAATGAAACTATCAACCAACTGATGGACAAGAACAGTCAGGTAAGCTTGACCGGTGTTTTATTTATTTTAGAAATGGAGATAAGAAGTTTGTTTATGCAAACTGTGATTTAAGGCACGTGCCACCTTAAGTTCTTAAGGACCAAGTTTTGTGGTGAACTACGGAACAGTTAATAGGTGGCAATATTTTTTAGCTATTATGAAGTTTCACATTTTCTTCATCCAGTATTTACTCTGGTCTCTTAGCTTAATCAAAGCTTTCTTTGTGTAGAGAAGAAAGTTTCTCTATAAATGTTACTTTTATCTTTTCAGTTAACATAACTTATTTTTACTTAATTTTTAAGGAAATAATGTGATGTTATTTTTTGTAAAAAATTTCAATCACACTAAGTAATAACCCATATGCAAGTTATACATTGTCTCATGTAGTGGACAATGGTCACATCTTTGAAAGCAGGTGTTTACTTTTACCATGTATGTCAGATAGCTAGCAGACCGTAATGCTATATGGACTTTGGCACAACTAGCCTATTTTTAATTCCATTCTGTATTTAAGCTTTTCTTAGACTCTAGGCTTAGCAGTGACCTTTTTTATGGCAATAAAGAATACATGTTCTGAAATAGCATAAGGACTGCAACTCAGTTTGGATTTGATGTTTGGAGGCAAAAAAGTAGATATTTTTTGTTTGAGAATGTGCAGAGATTTTAGCAAAATCTAGAGATTTTAGCAAAAAAGGCACTCTTACCTGCATTCAGGATGAACATGCTGCTAACACCTACCATGCAGTTCCTGGGTTTTTCCATTCATCTGGATAGTCTGTTCCTTATATTTTTGTAACTTCTTTTTTTCCAATGCTTTCCATGTATGTTTTTTTTCAGCCTCTTCCTTATATTTTTTCAGAACTTTTTATTTGAAAGAAATAAATTTGAAATTTGATCATGTAACGTTTCTGGGCTTTTCATTTGTCTTTGTTCAATGTGGCAAACCACTTTTCTCTCTTCCTCCTCCTATAAAGTTTCTCAGGAAAAACATTTGGTTGTTTGGGTTTTTTGTTTGTTTGTTTTGCTTTTGGTTTTTTGGTGGTTGGTTTTTTTTTTTTGACTTGTCAGAATTCCTTGACTTGATCATTCTAGTCCTGACAGTGCTTTAAAGGCAAGCAGTCACATCAGTGCTAACGCTGATTGTCCTATCTTGGAAGAGTAGCAGAAACCATCATTCTGTTTGTAATGAGTCTGTGGGCCTTTGTATTTTCCAGTGGCTGGGTCATAAGGTGCCTGCTCCTATAGTGGCTGATATAGCGCTAAGCTTCATGCTGAGCATTTATCTTAACTTACATGCTCTGCTGGTGCAGTCTATCATATTGTGTGGCCTACTTCTGTTTTAATAGAGCTTCCTTCACCTCTTTTCCTTTATTTTTTACTGACATGCCTCCAATTTAGGTTACTAAATCTGATGGGCTTGGGATCCTCTGCTTTGTCCTGCTCAAAGATTGTAGTTTTCAAGGGGTATATGGTGTGAAGTATGGGAAGTCTGCATTCATGCTGTGTTGTTTTTGATCCACTAACCTGTTCTGAGACTGGTACATGAATGTATGGGTATGGTCAAAGCACGGGAGAAGCCATAATGGCCCTAATACTGAGTCGAAATCAATAAACCCAAGCAGATCTAAGCTGTGATTCCTGAAGTTGCTGGCTTTCTCCTGAACTACCTAGCATATTCCTTATTTTTTTATCATTATTTGCTCTATCCATGTTCCAGCAATTCATTCCATAGTAATCATGTTGTATTCGTTAGCCCTAGCAGTTGTCTGAGGACATAAGGTGCACAAATGTTTAATTGGTCATCCCTTGCCTAGGTAAATGGAGGTGTTAAGGAAAGGAAGAAAACCTGAATCATTTAGAAATCATATGTGTTTTTCATAACAGACAAATCAAAAGCAAAAAATAAAGGAGAGTGAGTTGTGAATAATAAGCAGGGGGACCCCACAAGGCTCTGAAATCACTGTTCGTGTAAATGCATGGACAGATCTTTGTAGTGTCAATTGGTAGTGCTGTCCACATGGAAAATTTTTTTGTTACATAAGACTCCCTGATATGGGTTTTACCTCTTTTTATGTAACGAATGCATAAAAATGCTAAATGCAGTCTTTGGTTTAAGCTATGTTTAAGAAATGCTGTCAGTATTTGTTATTATTTTTAAAATCATCAGCATCTTGCCAACAAGTGTGAGGTAAGTGTCACTCCTGAAAAAAATCTCTTTATTGTAGGATATGTAATATCAAATAAACTGTGAGCCATTGTGGAGGAGAAAAAAAATACAAACAGTATTTCATGTGTTCAATACAAAGTTGTAGACAGTTTCCATATGAGGATATCATCAATCTAGATGCAGCATTTGTGATAAGCTTCAGGGAACTAGAAGAATATAATTTAGCCAGCTTTGAAATGCACAGACAGTTAACATTGGAGACAAAACTCTATAAAAATAAATAATAAAGAAAAAGGAGAAATGGCAGTCTGTCTTTGTTTTCTGTTATGACTTCAAAGGGTTGATGGCAAATTTTCAAAATTGGGTTACAATCATAGCTTGCAATTTTATGAGATGTTCCAAATATTTGCAGACAGTAGGTGGGCTATATTGTTTAGGTTTTATTCTTTTGGATTTATTTGGATAACTTGGTTGAAGTCTTGCCTACGTGGTTATCATTGATACTGGTTGACAGTGGAATCTCTAACATCTTGTGTCTTTTGGAATGTATTTTCTTCTATGTATGGAATATAGAAAACATACTTACACTGAAAGCGAGTTACTGATGGATTTAGGGTTTTTATAATTTTACTGGGGTTTTTTTAGCCAATTCATGCAACTAGAATTGTAAGACAGTTTTAGGAAGGTTGAAATACTGATATTTTCTTCAGAAAAAAAGTGTGACGGTCATTACCCCATATCCTTGGTTTATTACTTTTGTATGGTGTTTTGCATTGCTTATTCTTGATGTAATTACAAATTGTTTTATTATTTTTAACCTGCTCACTGTTAACCTTAATTGTCTTTTTGTTCTGGATTATTTCAGGTAATTTTTCTATAAGAAATGTGTACAGTTTGTGGAAATAGTCAATAAAATTCAGTATCAAATTTATTTAAGCCAGTTTAAAGAATCCAGTAGTTCGTGATACATCAGGAAAATCTCGTGTTGTCCCCTTTATCATTCTTTTTTTTCCTGTAGTAGAAGTTGTGTGTGGCTTATGACAGATGTGCTGTAAATTCATTCTTATTTTAAACGGAATGTTAAAAAAAATTATAACTTGAAATAAGTAAGAATCAGGAATGGTGTGTGTAACATAAGTTTAATGAAATGTAGTATTTAGTTACACACACGTACTTGCAGTGCAAATTTTTCCTATTACTTAGCGCATTTTCTAGGATTTTTTTTAACCTGAAATATATCAATGTTGAAAAAACCCCTAACTCTTAAGCTCCTTAGGAAAACAGTAGAATTCTTATTAAATGTGGCCATTTTTTTATTTTGAAGATGAAGTCTTCATTTCTCGGCTGCGATGCAGGAGTGAACCAAGCTTTTAACTGCTGTTCATTCATCTACTGTGTGTCGTTTTAGAAATAATTTGAAGTTGATATACTTCATATGGAATATTTTAGAAAATAAGCAAAACAAGTCAGCCTATAAAATGGACCTGTAGGTAAGGTGTGTACGACCAATGGTCCTCTCTGTATTCTGCTGCATTACTGTATTGCCTCATTTCCTCCATCTTGCTACTTGGAGGAACCCACAAAGAAACCCATCGCAGTCTGCAGAGAGGGTGAGAAAAGCAGGGGATTAACCAAAACTATGCCTGCTTAGGAGACTAGATCATTTAAGGACAGGTATGTGTTTTAAATCACAAATGTTCCATGTCTAACTTTAAAGAAAGACTGAATACATTTGAACTGGCATTTGAAGCAAAAAGTTTCTATTTTCACAGAACAAAGTGTGCTAATTGTTCCTTAAACGTTAGGAATGACTAAGGACATCCTTCCAACAATTTTCTTTAACTACTTTAGGTCGCACTGGATTTCTTTCTTCTTTCCTAGGCCCTCAAAGAAAAGGATGACCTCAGAAGTCAACTTCTCTCTGCTATACACCAAATAGAAAACCTTCAGAAAGAGCTGAATGATGTACTTACAAAGAGAGCCCAACAGGAAGAACTCCTCCACTGCAAAGAGGCAAAACTGAATGAAATGAAGTCTCACCAGGTATCACTTGAAGAAGAGATCAAAGAAGTTCAAGATACTGTAAATAAATTGGAGAATGAGTTGAAAAAGCAAGTTTTTCTACAAAATCAAATGCAAGCTGAAAAGGAACACTTGGAGACAGAACTTGCAACTAGTAACTTGATACATAAAAAAGACCAAGAAAGACTCTTAGAAATGCAAGCAGATGTAAAAAACTTAAGCTCTGTACGTGTGGAACTAACAAACAGAATAGCAGAAGAGGAGAAAGTCAAAAAGGAATTACATAAGAGCCTCTCAGATCTCCAGAAACAGCAGGAATCTAAGCATGAAGAGATGACTTCAGCTAACAGGCAGCTGAAGATGGAGAGAGAAGTTCACAAACAGGAGTTGGCAGATCTTAGATCAGAGTTACAAAATGTTAAAATCAAACATGAACGAAATGTTCAAGAGCTCACGAAACTCCTTAAACAAGAAAAGGATGATGCAGAGGCTCAGATTAGAATGCTAAAGGTACTTATACTGAAGAATTCCAATGTCAGACTTTTTTTTTTTTTTTTTAATCTTCCTTCCTCCCTATTAAATGATGAAGGTAATAAAGCTTGGGCTTTAAAACATTTAACACACATTTTATTGCAGGTCATCATAAAAGTTTGAAGTTCAGGGTAAAAAAATTTAACAGTAACAGTTTTAGGTCAAAAGCTTTTCTTAGTTCAATAGTGAAATAGATATTTCCAATCAGAACACAATGAGATATATGACGCTGTAGTGTTTTAATATGATTTAATTCTTTCTTCTTCAACTCTTATTTTTACAATTATTGTCACAGCTCTATTAAAGAACTTGCAGTCTTTCAGGAATAGTGCATTGTTGTGTCTAAACTGCACGATGCAGAAATACTGTCATATCTGGAAACACTTTCAGAATGTGAATAGTTATAATGAATTTCAGAATGATAGTGATAATGAACAGTGGTTGTTAATTTTGATCTATTTCAAAGAGTTTTTAGAATTTCAAATTTCAGTACAATTTCTCAGAACAGTGACTATGTTCATATAGTAAATGATGAAATAGAGAATTTATTCATGAAGAAACAGGTATCTTTAGTTTACATCATTTGGTCCTGATTCAAGGCTATTGTATTGGAAAGAAAATGAGCATTTTAGTGGCTTTAAGTGGTCTGAATAAAATGGAAAAGTTAAGTTGAAGTGGTCTAAACTGCATGATTATCTGTCAACAGTTGTGTAAGCTATATATTGCAGTTTTAGTGAAGAAATTTTGATTACATGGTTAAATATAAATGTAAGATAGTATTTTGTTTGTCGTAATAATAATAATTTGTATATTCATATTAATGGCGGCAGTAGTTTTCCAGATAGGCTGTAAATTACCAACATATTTTGAGTGCACTTCTGAAGCACTATAAATATGCTCTCCACCTCAGTCTCATGAAATTAAAGACTTGCTCATGTCAAAATGTTACCGATTTAACCATATAAAGCTATAAAATCCTTAATCGAAGCTTAAGTGTTCATGATACACTTCATCATAAGTAATATAAGCATGTTTTTTTCCTCTCTTTTCACAAATATGCAACTAGTTAAAATGCGTATTTTCCACACTTTTGCAGTTATGAGTTGAAGTTAATTAGAAGAGAAGGGTTAGTTATTTAATATATCATTCATGGCATAACAAGTGCTTAAGAATTATTGTAAATTATTAACATAGAAAGCATTTAATGAAGATAGCAATAAAAAATACTTAGATGGTTGTTAGTGGAAGGATCATTTAAAATGAAAATATTTTGGCAGCAGTGCTTAACATTGGGGACTTAATTTGTAATGTGCCTAGCATTATTTAAATGATCTGTCCAAATATGTGTTTTTTCTTAGACATTGAATTTAAGACGGTACATTTAATATCAAGGGGAGAGAAGGAAATTGTATTCCAGGTGATAGTCATCAAAAAATGAGTTGATCATGACTAGGTGTTCCTGCTCTATGGGAAGGTCAATCTTACAGTAAGGGCCTTGATGTTGGTACTAATTGTTGTACCTAAACAGAATATTTTAAAAAATCACTTCCTTCTTTCATTCACGGTGCCATGACTTTCCTGGAATCCTTACTTTGCATACCTTTTTTTTTTTTTTTTAACAGCTTTGTGTCTCTGAAACAGAGAAGAGCAGAGGGCTTGAGGGAGATAAATTTTGTAAGATATTAGGGTAGGCAATTTTTTTTAGAAGAACACAAAATGATAATGCAGAACATTATGTTGATTCATAGACTGTAACTGCAACAAAATAGATAATCATATCCATCTGTAGGAAGATCTGATGAGTACATGTCATCATGCAGGTGATCTGGTCACATTTTGTCTGAACTCATTAAACTGCAATTGGGGTTCACTTTTATGGACATACTGTTCTTCCAAATTAAGGGAAAGCATGCATTTTATCAAATTGTATTTAAATACGATGGGTTTCGGGTAGAGTTTAGGGAAGTCCAACAGAAAGGGGTGGTTTTGCCTATTATCCTTTTTTTTTCAGGCTGGTAATATTTTGTGCCCTTTTACTACTACAGTAATAATCTTGACCTTATTTATGCCTCAGCCTCATCCAACCTTTGTAACTGCTTTTGGGAAAGATTATATATAACCCTGTCCAAAGGTTGTTAATATTAAGGTCTTAAATTTCTATTTACTCCCCAAGTCTCTCCTAACTGACCTCTATTTTTAACACATTTACTAAGACTCAAAGCCTTAAACTTAACTAGAGGAGGAATTTTCATGAGTTACTTTCAGGAAATCAAGGGTGCAGAGCCCTGTGTTTACAGGACCAACTGCTGCATAGATTGTAAAAAGTAGTGACATTTGATCCTTACTGTTCTTCCCTCTCTTGCCTCCTCTCTATGATACTCTCTGCTTCACTCTTGTCTGGCTTTGTGTAGTGCTGCACTGGACTGAAAAATTATAAAGTAGTTAAGGGTTTTTTTGGGGTAGTAGGGGAGGTACCACAGGAATATCGTACGTTGCAGTAGAACTGAAGAACATAGAATTTTGTATGAAATGTCAGTGTTGAGAAGGATCTTACTGTTTCAGTAAGATTCTGAGATTCTGGTGCTTAAGTTTTTAATTCTGTTTCTGCTAGAATATCCTAAAGGATTTCCAGCCAATGTCTGTATAACGTCTTTTTTTTATTATTTAAAATGATAGGTAAGCTAGGCATAGGAAATTAAGTGGTTTGCTTAGTGGTCCCCAATCAGCTATGTGTTCAGAAGCTCTGAATCTGTCCCCTAATTTTACTATATGCCCTCATTTGCTTTGAAAACATCCTTGTTCTCTTAGAATAATGAAATACAAAATGTTCTCATGCCTGACAGCAGTTTCAAGTATTAATCTTTAATGTAAGATTACGTAGAGATGGGTATCTATACATGTAAAATTGTGTATATATGTGTATTTCTTTTTGACTTGTTTTCCATACATATACCAAGTGGGTGTAGTTCTTTTTTTCCTGAAGACTATCAGATGTGGAAAATGGGTTCAATCCAGATCAATTAAATTTATAGTCACATCTGCCTTGTCCATACTGGAAATTAATAGAAATTAACTTTCTCCATTGTGTCTCAAAGGTAATATAAGTACAGAATTTGTTTCTTGGATTGTCTCCATCTGCACAGACATTATAATACAATTACTTTTAATAGGAACTGAAAAGTTGATTTTAAAGCATATTCACACAAAATGTTTCAGGCATTGCAGGCTTGTCTTGGTGTCCGTAAGTCTTTGAACTTAGGACACCCAAAGTTCTTTCTTGGAATCGTCCTTCGGAGGAGCTTTTGTACTCTGTTAGCTCTGGTGTCTAAATTAACTCATAAAACTTCTCTCCTTACCCTTCTTCCCCATAAAAGTTATATTTATAGTGTAATTGGGAGAATAGAATTTTTGCTTTTCATCAGGAAGGAATTTACTCTGCAGGTTTATTTTTGTGTGTAACTGCATCCCGCAATTAGTCTAATATGAAGCTGGATTTGAGTAATATGTCTGTAATTTCCTTTTTTTTTGTCTCTTTTTTTGCATTTTTTAGATATTCTAGAGAATTTCTGAAATCTGTCAGTTTCAGTTATCTTTTCTACTGGAAACCAATATACTTTATTCACTTACCTATTTAGGGCTCTTAAGGTCCCTAAATGTTTTCTTCATTTTTCTCTGCATTTTTACTATGAATAGCATTAAACCTATACAATTCTAGAAATTAAAAATACTGAATCTTTGCAGTTATTTCCTTGCAGATACAAATTTAGTATTAGGTCCTGAAATGAAATGATATTTGTAGACCTTCTGATTCCAAATTATTTCAGTAATGGAAAAGTTTCATAAATATGGGCTTCCTAAGGTGATGTAAGCTCATGAGTGTAGCAGAGTTGAAATGCAGAATCTGAGACTTCTATTTACTGCTTTTAAAATGCTATATGGTTCTACAACTGTGATACATGTTTTCCATGCTCAGATAAGTGATTGAACTTAATATAACTTAAATGTAAAAAATTAAATAGAAATATCCTTCTGCAATAGTGTTCCATGGATTTGAAACTCTACAGTCTGGGAATGTTATAAAATAACCCATATAGTGACTTTGTAATCTATTTTCCCATTACCATCAGATGGAACTTGTAGAAGAAAAAAACATAGTCAAGGCTCAGTGTCGACAACTGGAGAAGATAAAAATTGAGTGTGATAAATTGACAGAAGAATTAACACAAAATGAAGAAGAAAATATAAAACTCAGGCGGAAATGTGAGTTTGTAAAACAAGAACTGGAGAAAAAGGTAAACTTACCTGATTGTAACCATGATTCATCAGTCTCTCTGCTGACATACCTAAAATAAATGATAAATTATAGAAATAGAAAGTAAACTTAAAATACAAAAAAAAATACATGTACATATTAAAGAATATATACAGTCATACCGCAGTACACAGTTTCTATATAAATCAGAGAAGGTGAAAGGGCTTTGACTGAGTCATGAATTTTATCCCTCCAAAGATTTGCTAGTACTATTTAAAAAGAGTAGAAGTCCTGTTGTCTGCCCTATTTAATATAGATAACTAACAAATGTTTAACCAAACACTTCTAGTTTTCTTTACATATTCTTAAAGTTGCAGTGCATTTATGAATAATTTAGAGCTAATTTGAAGTAGATAAGCAATTTAAGCATGGTAAAAGAAATTCTAAATAACTTGATGAAAATTATTTTCTGCTTGAATATTTAAAACATGGCAAGTTTTTAAAGAAATTCACATCCCTTCCTTATACTGGCATTGTATTTCTAGAGATGAATGCTGTCTGCCAGCCATTCTTGTTGCCTAGTGTTCTGGTTATTAATATTTATTATCAAATATTAATTTGCAGTCTTACAACCTGGCATTGTCAGCCTTTCATTTCAAAAATCTTGTGATAAATACGGAGTTGCTGAAGAATTTTATTTTGTAACTCCTCTCTCTGCTTTCTTGTTCTACTTATTTTCCATGATTGATTCCACAGCATTGCTTTTTAATTTGTTTTTCTTTGTATTTTCACATTGTGCTATTTTACACGTATTTTACATTGTGCTTTTTTGATATCTTTAATTTCTCTTCCAGCAATATTGTGGTTTCAGATAAGTATTTCTGTACACGAATGAAGCTTTATCTTTTCCAGTGTAAAGCACATACATGTCAGTATTTGATTAATTCATATTAAGAAAAAATTGAAAATGATTGTTTCTAATATTGGACAAATTTCATTTCCTACATTAAAATTCAAGAAAACAAACAAAAAAACCCTGTGTGTATTACAGGAAACTGCTTACAAATTGTTCATGGTATCCTCATTTTTAAAAAAAGGATATTTTAGCCTCTAGCTGGAAGGTTCTTACTCTTCTACTTCAATTTAGTAATTTTTCATCCTTGTGAAAAGAAATTTTTTTTACATAGGAATTTATGTTAACATGGTACAAGAGGTTTGTTCATTCATTTCACATGGACTGCTGAATACTCATCAGATAATTCTTCATTAGCTCAATAGTTTCAAACTATTTAAATCTAGTAAGAGGCCCATGTATATTGTAGGTCCTTCGTGGCTTTTCAGGTTTTTCAATTTAATTTTCGACTTGTATTTTGTTGTTATAAATGAAGTGCACAACATCACTTAAGTGTTGAGCTTAAAATCTAATGGGCTTATTTTGAATGTAGGCAAAGTGATTGTTTGGAAATGCTATTAGCTCCTTTTGTCATACTGCTTATATTTTCAGTGTATACTGTTTGTCATTCAGTATGCTGAGGCAACTAGCCCTGAGAGGAAAAGTGGGGTGAGTTGTTTTGGGTTTTTTTGAAAGTGTGAAATGAGAAAATCTTAAACTTAGCATTTCTCTTAGCTTGTTAAACTAACAGAAAGTGCTTTAAAAACTCAACTTGTCAGACTAATAAGTACTACCTCAAATGAAAACTCAGAATGTGTTTTTTCTAGGTTGGGCATTTAGCGCTATAATATTTAATAATAAGGAAATGTGTTTGTAGGAGTGTACGTAGTCTTCTACAATCAATTGTAAACTAGCTCCAACCTTCCCTAATATTGGGAAGTTACAGTTTTTAGACGGAGATGATCTTTTATCTCTAAGCTGAAAAAGAATGGAAAAGCTTTTAAGAACACAAAATCCTGTGGTCTCAATCTTTGAAAGTAACTGCAGATGGAGAGTTCCACTTGATTGTGTTAATTGGTTAAGAGAATATTTACTATTGTGGTTTTATTTTGGATTTTCAGAAGGGATGTTAGGATGTGGAAACAATAATTTACCTCTTGAGGAATCTCATGCTAGCTGTCATATTGTGGTATTGCAGAAGCCTATGGTGTTACAAAACAATTATCTCTTTTCCTTTTCCACAATTTTATACTTTTAATGTCATTCTGTGTCATTAGTGCAAATACTAATTCAAAGAAACAGAGATTATAGATAGCTTGGATTTTTTTTTTATGAAAGTTGAAGAGGCAGAGAATAATGGTGTAAAATTTTCTGCTTATTTTCTTTTCCTTTTGTGCACTTCTGAGTTATTAGTGACTTCATTTCTTCTGTAGGCTCTGAAAGTAGAATGTTGACACACTCAGAAAATCAAGCAGACGAAAAATACTGAGTTATATACTCTTTTAGTCATGGTCTTTAGGAGTCAAGTTTGGCATGTCATGGACTGTGTTCAGTGAATAATGAGATGGCACAGAATACTGACACTGGAAGCATATATAATGCAATATTCTTACCTTCAGAATACTGATGTAGACAAGAACTGCTATTTCAACTCCCATATAGGTAGTACAGAAATACTGGAACCTGTACTATTAAAAATTCTTGTGATTCCTTCAGTTTAAAATAATTACTAACTCAAGTATTATTGTATGAATTAAATGAAAAAATCAGGTTGCTTATCAGATACAGCTTTTTCACATTTGAAGGTCACCTATATTAAAAACCACCTATTTTGCTAATAGATGTAACACCCATACGTATTGTGGCGAGGTGGGTGTTGGTCTCTTTTCACAAGTAACGAGTGATAGGACAAGAGGAAATGGTCTCAGGTTGTGCTGGGGGAGATTTAGGTTGGATATTAGGAAAAATTTCTTCACCAAAAAGTCTGTCAAGTTTTGGAACAGGCTGCCCAGAGAAGTGGTTGAGTCACCATCCCTGGAGGTATTTAAAAGATGTGTAGATGTGGTGCTCAGAGACATGGTTTAGTGGTGGACTTGGCAGCATTAGGTTTACAGCTGAACTCTATGATCTTAAGGGTCTTTTCCAACCAAAACATTTCTATGATTCCATATGTACCCCATTCACAGAACTTGTACGTTAGAAATTACTTAGGTCGACAGTGGTGTCTCATGAGCAGTGTATGAAGATTTCAAATAAATACAATTTAACAGTTGCACCTTGTCATTGCAAAGGTCCATAATCAATATATTTTCAAAGTTATTCTTGTTTTTCTCTCCATTCTCAGTGCACCTGCACATATTGAAATGTGCCTGTTAAAGTGTTTACCCTTTGCTGCATTACATCCTCCTGATCTCAGCAGCAGACAGGTGTAAACCAGCTTCACTTCTTCTCATAAGATAGTTTTGTTATATTAATTACAATGCATAATTCAATATATTGTATAACAAAACTGCTGCCAGGTTTAGTTTTACATGGTGGCTCTATCTTAGATACAAAGGAAGAGAATCTGAATTTTAAAAACATATATCTAATGATCTTTCTGACATTGGATGATAATATAAAATGTTTTCCTCAGTGCCAGTCACTGTCCTATGAGATATTCTTTGAATACTTTTTCCTTTGAGATCATACTGACTGCCAATACATGTTTCCTTTAGGAATCTCTTTTTGCGATAACAGAGATTAGATGGCTGTAGCTGGTTCAGGGCAAAAGATAGGGGGAGTATTTGTTGTGGGCTTTCTACTCATGAAAAAGTTTTGTAATAGAATGTCTGGTTTTGGCTCTGAAAGTAGACTATGATTGTTGGGTTTGGATTTGGTAACAGTTTCTTCATAACTGATTTACAAGAGAATAAGGAGAATCAAGAGAGGAACTTACTAGTACTAATAGAAGGTATTATTTTCCATGGAAAGGAACAGAACTCAGTGCATGAGTGACTACAGGATGTATGTTATATTATTATTGCAGTAATTTCTTTGTTTTGTTTTTCCTCATTCACTCCAGGATAAACAGATCAGCAATGAAGAAGATCATTTGAGAAGGATGGATGAGGCCAAACTGCAGTTTAAGGATCAGCTGCACCACTTAGAAATGGAACAGGAATCCATTCTCACCATGATAGGAAGTGAAATTGATGCTGCTTGTGAAATTTTTTCTCGGGATTCCATGGAGAAATTCAAAGTAATTCTAAGTTTTAAGTGTGCTGCAGATTTGTTATTTTCTTAATGAATGTAGCAGAATTTGTATGCATTGTTGTCACCTATCACTTAATTGGTATAGATAATTTATGGAGAATAGGAGTATGGATATTTAGCTGGTACAGATGTACATTGCTAGGTTTTAGAATGGGATACTCTCAAGATCTGCCCATGTGTTAATCATTACTGCTTTCTCTTACCCCTTTTTTTTTTGTGAGAAGCTGCTCCCCTTTTGTTTGCTTGTGTGAAAGGATCTTACATCAGCCAGGCTTTTGAGGCAGGTTTTCCTAGGCCACCTCCTTAGAGGTGGGAAGTCCCCAAGAAAGACCTAAAAGGCTTTTAAAATTGGGGGGGG